TCCATCCATCCATCCATCCATCCATCCATCCATCCATCCATCCATCCATCCATCCATCCATCATCCATCCATCCATCCATTCTTTGTGTGTTTTTAAGATTTTTATTTTTTTCTAATCTTTGTTTTGTTTTTACCATAAGGTGAAACTGAACTACAGGACTTTGTGCAGCATTGTATATACAGTATATAGTTTATATATCCTCAATTTATTTTCTTTTTTTAATTCAGCTGATTTTTTCTAACGTTTGTTTTGTCTGTTTCTGAGCTTCTACTAATCCTAAATACTTTTAAAAAATGCAAACCAATCTGTCTGTACAAGGAGGCTTGTGGAGGGGCCACCATTGTTGCTTGGCGGTCCCTCTCTCCATCCCCGCCCCCTGGTGGCACCTCTGAAAAGAAGCAAATAATGTAAGGAGAATGTTTTTGTAGTGCAGTCAGCTGAGAGGGAAAACAACGTGTATTATGGCAGGATTTTTAGTGACTTCATTTAGTGCCAAAASATTTTCTTGGTTTCTATGAATTTTTTTAAAAATGTGTTTGGTGTCAAGTGGTGCATTTAATGCATGACTGTCGTTGTYGAGAGAATTGTTCTGCCATCTAGAGGAAGGTCTTTGTTGGTACATTCAAGCTTCTATCTTGTGAGATAAGAAGCTGTTTGAAAAACTGATAAGTACATAATACATTGTACCTCTTGGTACCACAAGAAAATGTATTGTTTTTCAGAAATTTCATAATTGTATGGTGCACTGATCAAGGATTAAAGTAATTTCAGTTCACTGTTCTTAATARTTTGGGAAAATAGAGTTGAATACTCTGTTTGTTTTTTGATGTCTTGGCTGAACTGTGAAGCACTTTGGTCAGKTTTTGTTGTTAATGTGCTATACAAATAAATTMGACATTGACATTGAATAAAAATTATGATACAGCACTGTGTAAATGTTTTAAGGCATCTCCCACGTATTGCTTTAAAGCAGCCTGACTTTTTTTTTTACATAATCTTGATAAGCATTTCGCTAGCAAGGACCACGCCATGGTGTGAGTTTCAATATTTTACTGAAGGAAGGGGTCGAGGGATGAACGACGAGGCGTGTATGCATTGAAGGAAGCTTTAGGAGAAGACTCAGAGTGGGGCATGGTCTCCAGGAAGGATGCTTTTTCCTGAGCCTGCTTTGGACCCCGCAGCTGGAACCTGAAAAGGAATGGATTAGGAGGTGCGTGGAAACAACTTTAGGTCTGGCATRGGTGGGTCTTCTTTACATTTGAAAACAGTCTATGAACAACTCAACCAATTGTTCATAGACTATTTTCTCAATCAGTTTGCTGACAATACTGAGAATAGAGATGGTGTGATAGAAYCTAACCTTGGTTTTACCGCTCTTCTTGTGAATAAGAGTGATTTTAGCATATTTAAGTTRGGAAGGGATACTACTTGTTGACAGAGACAAAATTATTTTGTGTGTTAGTGGGGAGGTGAGGTACATGGCACCATCTTTGATGAATCTGGGGGGTATTTGGTTTGGTTTGGTCCAGTTGCCTTGTTTGTGTTTAGATTTTGAAGATTTTTGAGGACAGTGTCCTCTGTTACYTGTTTGAATTTAAGAGAAGCACCTGAGTTTGGCCATTTGCTGTAGAATTGCTTTATGTAAGTGGAGCCAAACCTCCCACTTTCCATGGGTATTTTTTTAGTAGAGAGGAAGCAACAGTGGAGAAGCACCTGTTAAAAGTTGTTAGCCACATTGTGCTTGTCAAAGCATATATTTTCTATTTTGAGGCCAATGTTGTTGTTGGATGTTTTTAAGTTAGAGGAAGTGCCGAGGCTTTTTAGTATATTCCATCATTTTTTAGGCTGTTTTTTACATTCTTCCATCTTGTTCACAAAARAGTTGGATTTAGCTTGGGCCTTCTTAGATTGAACCAGGTTTCTTAGTGACACATATTTGTCATGGTTCTTAGTTTTTCTGACTGAAAGTATGTTTCCTCTGATGAATTAGGTTAGGGGTGGGCAATCCTAGTCCTCGAGGACCGCAGCCCTACGTGTTTTACATTTTTCCTGGCTCCAACACACCTGATTCAGTCACTGATTGACCTTCCAAGTTCTGCAGTATGGAGGCCCAAAACTGACATAATTATAAAAAAAAGGCAGAAATATATAAACAAACCACTAAATAAATAAATACACTTAAAATGCACCAATTCAATTAAAAAAGAACTTCACCTCATGTTTTGTAATTTAATTCTCATTTAATTGATATTTTTAACACACTTCAAATTTGACTGTTTTTTTTTAAATATTTATTTTTCAGTTTTACTTTTTAATTGTACATACATTTGTCCCTTAAATGTTTGAATTGAAATATTTTTATAGTTTTGTCCCACAAGTCTTTTTTATTTCGATGTGTTGCAGGCGTGTGCTGCCTCAGTTTAGCTCAAAGTTTAAAGTTTAGTTAAAAACAAAGGCACGGGTAAGTTTTTCTCCTTGCCTTTGTTTTAAACTAAAATTTAAAGACTTGTGGGAAAAATACAAAAATAATTAAGTATAAATATTTAAGAGACACAAATGCATGTAGCATTTAAAGGAAAAACAACAAAATA